CAGAAAAAATTCTGATGTGATATTTGATACCTCCTTCTTTTGAAGTGAAAGGTTAGGTATCAACTTTGATTTTGTTCATTAATTCATAAATACAAGTGGTATAAATAAACTTATCTAATTAACAATACTGTATATTATCTGTATTAAATATTTTATTTGTGATAAAAAATATCTTGGTTATTTTTCAGGATAATCATTAGGAAAATTATATAAAATAAAATTTTGCAGTGTCCTTATTTTTTTAATGGAAGATAAGTTACTAATAGTTCATATAGATAAACACGTGTGGACATGAATGATGACTGTTGTCCATAATTGAACATGTATTTGGTAAAAAAAATTTTAAAAATGCACGGATACTGATTAATTATTATGTATGAAATCTGCAGCATGAAAAAGGTTATTTTTAATTCAAAGTCTGTTAAAATAAGAGTGTATAATAATGTTCAGTACATCCATACATAACCATATTTAAGAAAAAAAGTGACATATGAAGCAATAAATTAGTTTGAAATGTTATTTTGTGAGTGATTCAACTTGGTTGGTGCACTATTTTAAAACATTTTTACACTAAATATAATAATTTAGAGATGAAAATGATTACGAAGATATTACAAGGAGAATAAAAATGACATTTAAATTTGTATTTGTGGGATAAATTCGTCATCGTTTTAGGTTTGATAGAGAAAAGTTGAGTCAATTAAAAATGGGTACGGATAGGTAATGCAATACTCACTTGATTTTCGTTCCTCGTTTCGACTTTATATTTAAATTTAAATTTTAAAACATTAATATTTTTAAATTATTTTTTTTATTATATATAAAGTTATTTTTTATATTTCACAATTTTTACCTTTTTTCTACCTATTTATTAATTTATTAATTTTTTTATCTTTTTAAATTTTTTATATCAATTAATTTATTATATTATTTTCTTTTTCTTATCTTTCAATTTTTTACATCTTCTTAATCTTTCTAATCAATTTATTTATTTTTTCAATCTTTTCAAATATTTTACTTAGTAATAATTAATATTATTTTATTTATAATTTATATTTATTAAGTTTTATTATATTATATTTTTTATCTTATTATTTTTATTTATCATATATCAAATTTTATCTTAATAAAATAATTATATTTTAAAAAATTAATAATTTAAATTTGTAGTACTTCCAACTTATTCAATAAGAATTAATTTATTAAATATTTTTTATAAATTATATATTCTATATTTTTAAATAATAACTTAAAAATAAATTAATTTATATATATAATTAGATGTTTGAATATATCATAATAATAATATTAAAAATATTCAAATATTTGAATATAGTAATATAATAATAATATTATAAATATTTTATATATAAATATAAAATATAAATATTTTTTACGTATATATTTTAATATAAATATAATAAATTAAAATATATATTTAATTAATAATAAGTATAAATTATAAAATTATAAATATTTATTTATATATAAAAATAATAAAATTAATTTATTATAAATATAATTATTTTTTTAAAATAATATAGGTTAAGAATAGGATGAAAAAACGTAAAATTTAACAAAGATAAAATTGAAGACTTAAGTTTTTAACGGGACGAAAATGAAAAATGAGAAGGAAGATGATTAAAAAAATGGGAGGCAAAAGGAAGATGAAATTTGAAGTTTCTCCATCTTGGCTGTAAACACTGTGGAACAGGGGAAGTTGAAATAATAATTTTCTGACAAAATAGCGTGACAAAGAACCACACGCAGCCCCTCGCCACACCCATTTATTCAACCCCACTTGGACATTAGTCACCTCATCTCAGACCTGTCATCACCATCACAACTCACAACCTTAACTTGTTTTCCAAATTATAACTTTCATGTATACATACAATTTTTCTGAGGTAGATAGTTAGATGTTATTTAAGTACTATCCAATATCCTAATCATCAATAACTGTTTCTCTTTTCCTACTTTTCTCTCTCTTCTCTGAACAAACACACAAACATGAAACAACCCTACTATTATGGGTCATGTTCAACACACACCTTCAGCTACTTACTACTAGTGACAGGATGCTATGTGTAAGCACTAACAATTTTTTTAGGTTTTTTTACGTATACACTAATCACATAAACATATGGGATAAAGAGAAATTAGTTAGCTAAATTATTGTTGTTCCTTGTGCCCCTATGCAAGGACAACAACCCTTGTCTTGCGGGTCACATATTTCATTCTCCAAAAGTTTGTGACGAGACAATTTGTACAAAAATCTAACTCCTAAGCTTCCAATGTGGAATTTCATACTATATAGTCATGGATATTATTATAACTTATTCTAGCATACAGTTTTAATTTTTTTTAAGTTGTATAAAAACACTTCAAATATCATTTTTAAAAAACAAAATCTGTACTTTGTATGTATTATAATTAAAAGTTTTCATTTTTATTTATTTATCGATATAGTTAACATTTGTAGATAATTAAATTATCTACTTTTATAAATAACACCTTGTTTAAGAAATTAAACATAGTTTATTGTTTTGGTAATAGAACTCAATAGTCACTCTTTTAAAATTTAATAAAAATACTATTTTTTTCATATTTATCTATATGTTTTAAATAGTCCTAATACACTAGGATTTTTTATTTTTTAAAATAGTTGTGATTTTATGTTCCAAGTGTGAGAACACAATTATATAAATGTTGAGTAAAAGTCATAAGTATACGCGTGTTAGTAGAGGTAAACATTGATTAATCTTGCTAGTTTTCAAGTTGAAATTAATTGAGTCATAGATGATGGCACATTGCATGGTTAAGTAAGAGTGTGTTCACAATGTAGAAAATAGTAGTAGTTTAGTAGAAGATTGGGTTAAAGAGAGATAAAGATTGATCTCGAATGGTGCAATTTCATAATGTAAGTTTGACCACCAAGAAAGGAATCATCAATGTTAAAACACATGGCTTAACCACTTTTTCTTTAATATTTTTAAACTAAATAAAGTGTCATTTGTTATTATTATTAAATTATTAATTCAGGTTCGTGGTGCCATCCCCTCTTGTCACAGCAAAAAAAAATTGGTTAATATATGTTATCTTGGTATTATAAACAATGGGTAAATAATACTAGTAATTTGTGTGAGTATTCATTATAAAATTTGAAAGTAATTTTTTTTTTGAAAATATTACTATTTGTGTTTTTATATTGAGATTTTAATGAAAAATATTATTAAATCATTGGTTTTCTATTTAAGACAACTCGTTAAAAAGATATTTTTAAATAAGTTTCATGTTTTTAAATATTCATTGAATCTTATCACTAATAGAAATTTTTTTTATTAGAAGTTATGATAAAATTACACTAAAAGCCATCACAAAATATATTAATCTAATTCTATTAAAATAATTTTTCTATGTTATTAAAAGTATAAATATGAGTTTTTTTATCATATAATGTATCTTCTATTTATTAATTTAAATCATATTTTGTGATTGTATAATTAATACATAAATTAAAGATTATATAAATTATAACTGGTAAAAAGAATCACAAGTAATGATTTCAAGATATTTATTAAAATTTATAATATTTATTTAATAGTAACAATTAAGCACATGAACATATTTTTTCTTCAAAGAAAAGTAGAAAATTAAAGATATTCTTGAGCATGTTCAAGTTGTGAAGTAGATTGAATATTTATAATGAAGTTTTTTTCATAATAAATCTACCTACTCGACAAAAAGCCTCGTAATTCGATAGAAAAAGCTACTTTTGACCTACGTGTAGTGTCAAAACCTATATATAATGGGCCTATTAAAAGTAAATTATCAGTGAATTTTTTATTTTTTTTTACTATATTGTATATCACACATGTGTTCTCAATAAACTATAGTAATAGATTTTGCAGAAAAAATATTAAAGTTGAGATTTACAAACATATGATTGATAAAAGAGATTGTTTAAGGTGTTCAATTAGTGTTTTTTTATTTCATAATTTAGTTAAAAAATTAATCACTGTAGAAAAATCAGTTGATTGGTGCGGGTTTATTTTTAAAAAATTTATAATATTTTACACCAATTAATACTTTGAAACACACCAAAATAACAAATACTTTTGAAACCTGTAGGCTTTGTTATTTTTAATTTTTAAGTAATTTTGTTCTAAGAATAAAAAATATGGCATTTGATTTTCTTCAAAGAGAGAGAGGAAATTTAACTTCAATAAGGCTGAGGAAGTCAAGTTGTGAAAGTCACCCGGCCCAAATAAAACCATTTCAGATGGGTTAGGCCCAAAATTACGATTGAGAGTTTTTATTGGGCCTGAGATCAAACGTATGATAGTGAGATATTTGATAAAATTATATTATTATATTTGTATATTTCTAAAGAAACTATTGTAAAATTGACATTATCTGACTTACATATTTCACATGCATTTTAAATGATTTTTTTTCCTGTTTCAATTATAGTTGAAATAAAAAAATTATTCATCTTCATTATTAATTACTAAAATTTATACAACAATTTCAAATGAAATTATATATTTCACTTTTCTGAAAATTTTAACAAAAAAAATTATTTAATTTTTATTTCACTTTTATATATATATATATATATATATATATATATATATAAAATTCAACTTTTCTTTGAGTTTCATCTTGTTTTCACCCCTAAACAGTAGTTTGTTATATATATATATATATATATATATATTTTGAAGAATATACTGAGATTTTTTTTTATATATTAAAGAATTGAATTATGTTTATGTTTTGTGTTATATATTTTGGTTGTTTTATGTGTGTGCTTTCTTTTTATTTAAAAACTCAATTTTATTGAATAAATAGAACATAAAAATCATAAACTAAACAATAGTTTATTTTATTATTCTAAAATGATATATAAATAAAAGTTTTATCGAGTTAATTCTCGAAGAATTATTTAGATCTTAAAATTTTAGAAAGAGTTCTTACAATATACGAACTCTTACACTATGCCTAGGGATACAGAAGTGAAGTTTCATAATGATGATTTTGTGTTCTATAATTTTAGTTTTTTATTATTCTATAATTTTAGTCTCTAAATTAAGTTTAAATATATATATATATATATATATATATATATATATATATATATATATATATATTATTACAAGAATGTTTACAAAATTGTTGAAAAGTAAAATAAACTAAGATTACAAAATATTAAAATCACAGGAAAGAATTGAAAGACCAAATTATAATTTAGCTTATAAATTATCAAGTTAAATTTAAGGAATGAAATTGCAACATGATTCATCCATTGTAGTTTTCTTTAGTGTTCATGGCACTAACGCAGAAAGAGCACCCCAATCCCGTGCGCTGAATTTGACCAATTCAAGATGAAACTACGAATCCAAATCCAAAACTTCCGAGGAAGGAGTATCAAGCTTCTTCTTCTACTCGTTGCTGTGGCGATTCTGTATAACGTTTGCGTAGCTGAAAGCAATGAAAGAGTTATATACATCAATGGAGGCACAGATTCTGTGGTTTGGGTGGTTCAGCTTTCTGATCTTCATTTCAGCGTTCACCATCCAAACAGAGCCCTTGATTTCACCAAACTTGTGGGGCCCGCTCTCTCCCTCATCAACCCCTTCCTCGTCCTCATCACTGGCGACCTCACTGGTTCGTCTTATCTTTCATTGCTTTCACTATCCACCTTTAAAGTTTTTATTTTTAAGGTAATTCTGTTTCTGGGGTGTAGAATAATGATGTGTAGGTTTTGTTCTATGAATTTAACTAGAATGCATTTTTATAATCGTATATATGGGATAGTAAGGTCATTGACTTTAGAATGTACATTATAAAGGTGTTTTTAGACTTTCATTCAATCACATATTGTCATTCATGCTGAATTTGTTGACATTTGTGATAACTGTTATGAAATTCATGTTAAAGATGATTTCTGATTGTCTTACAGACTTGAAATATTTATGTTGATAATACATATAAATTAAAGAGCATAACCCCTTACTGATTTTTTACGTGTACAGCAATCCCCTTATAAGGGTATCCTGTGTATCTTGTTTCTTAGGTAATAAAAAGGTGTGAGTGTGATGTATTTTAAACCATTAATTGACTGAATAAGTGAAGCTAGTGCATGGATAAAAAGGGTAGAGATACCATGTGGTATTTGATGAAATTTCATGGGTTGTAACTGTAATCTACTCTAAAAGTTATATTTAGAGGTGATTTCTTTTTAGTTAATTATGAATGGGTATTGAATTCTTTATTTTAATGTTGTGGATTGTGGATGTTATTGTGTAATGTTTCTGTTTACCAGACGGTAAAAGCAAGGATTTGCTGACAATGAAGCAGAATGAGGATGAATGGGTGGAATACCGGAGTGTACTGGACACTGTTATTGAGAGAAGTGGACTCCACAAGAACTTGTTCTTTGACCTCAGAGGCAACCATGATAATTTTGCTGTTCCGGTTGTTGGTGGTTCCTTTGATTTCTTTTCTAAATACAGCATCAATGGGCAGCTAGGAAGAAATGGGAGTGTCAATAGTGTAACAGTTGAGGTCAGTGTGGCTTATTCATTACTCGATTAAGTATATCAATTTATGAAATTGAAATATTGCTGTGTCCCAGACTTGAGAACAAGTGTTAAGGTGTTGTTAACGGTCACAGTAAGCATATTGTAACACTGAAATTGAAATAACAGAGTCCATTTGGATCCATGGAGTGAGGGTTGTAAACATTGATGAGAAAATTAACTGTTGAAACCATTATGAAATACATGCCCATGTACTGAATTATGAAGTTGTTAAAACCAGTTCCTTGATTTTTTTTCGATCTGTTGTAACTATTTACATTTTAAACTTTAGAGGAGTTGAATCCTTAGAGACTAAATATCAATTTTAATAAAATTGAGGGAGGGGCTCTCATCCTTTCTTAACCCAATATATGTTTTCTGACTTCAAAATGCTTATTTCTTTTCATGGAAGAATTAGCCATATCAATTGAAACTCCCAACATTTTACTTTGTGCTGTCAATTTCTGGATTGACCCTGGAAGCATTTTTGTCAAATCAGAGTTTAATTATGCATTTATATGTTCGGACTAGATTAAAGAATTCAGAGATCTCAAACTGTGTAGGCTTGATTCTTTATATTGTTATATTGCTTGATACTATGATGTTCTTCCTTACTTATTTTTACATACTTGCATTGTATCACACAGACCAAGGAACGGAAACATCTATTTGTTGGGTTTGACAGCACGATGTCAACTGGCTTACGAGGTCCAACCAATCTTTTTGGGCATCCCACAGATCAATTACTAAAGGATCTAGACATGGAACTCTCACAGTGGGATTTTCAGTCAGAAAAACCAATTACCAAAATTTCCTTTGGGCATTTTCCACTCTCATTTTCTGCACCCTCTATTTCCGGAAGGACCTTGGAAGATGTTTTCCTAAAGCATTCCATATCAGCTTACCTGTGTGGGCATCTCCATACTAGATTTGGTAGGAACTTAAAGCGGCACCATCGGTCGAGTGATCATTTTTCACCCTTGCAGAAATTTGTTCAGTTCAATATGCATCAGAGTTCATTTGAAAGTACTATAAATTGTTCACTTGGAGTCCCACCAATTCGAGACTTTTGGGAATGGGAGATGGGTGATTGGAGAAAGAGTAGAGCCTTTCGAATTTTAGCAATTGATAGAGGCCATGTTTCATATGTTGATGTTGATTTCAAATCAGGAACCAAACATGCAATTATATTACCCACTTTTCCATTAGACTCTCGCTTCATGATAACATCCTCATGCCATCACAACTATGAATGTAAATCTGTGCCCTCTTCATCTTATGAGAAAATTAGAGCTCTGGTGTTTTCTGTTTCTCCAGTTGTATCCATTGTAGCTAGGATCTACGATTCACAAACTGAAAACCATGATTTACTCTTAGAAACACATATGATCAAGCATGCCGATGAGAACACCAAGGGGCACCTCTATCTTGCACCATGGAATTACAAAGCCTTTGAGGATGCTTCTCCTGATAGATATTGGCTTCAAATTGAAGTAAATGACAGCGAAGGCAGGTCAACTTTGACTGAATTGAGGCCGTTTTCTATCAATGGTCATAGCCTCAAATTTTCTTGGAGCTGGAAGGAGTTCTTGGTCATGGGATGTCAATGGGCTGCCCTTTATTACCCATTATTCTGGTCTGCTCTTTACTTTTTGTTCATCGTCCTTCTTCTTCCAAAAGCTCTCCTTGTTTTTTCAAATAAGATATACACTTACAAGAACTTCATTGCCAATAAAACCTTAGTAAATGGTGTATTATGGTTTCTCCAGGAGCTCTGCAGGATCCACACATTATGGTTTGGTTGGATAGGATACCTATTTTATCTGATATTGTTCCCCTGGTTTATGGGGCAAGTTTTTACTGAAGGGAAAAATATGGTATACATGACCTATATGGGGTGGGCTGTAGAGAATTCTAATGGAAAGGGGAAACTTGAGTATATTGGATCCCCTGATATTATGGTGGTGGTTCTTCCCCATCTATTATTTGTGGTTTTGCCTGCAATTTTGGTCACTGGGGCTCTGACAGCTGAAAGAGCAATTTTCCGGGAACAAGTGTTAGCATTTTTAGGGAAGAAAAAAGATGATCCTCGAATGGACTCTGGAAAAACTGTATTAAATGGCCACCAGAGCAAAATAGTATCTAATGTTCACCTTAGCAAGCGACGGATTCGGAAGCTTCTGTGTGTGGTGTGTGTGGCAATATGTTGGAGACATTTTATGGTAAGGTTTAAACTAACACTTTGCAGTGAGGTCCCCTTACTAATTCAATCCAGATTTTTTGGTTGTCCTTGCTTTTTCTTTTTTCTATCCTTCTCTTTTGTTCATTTATTTTGTCATTTACTTTACTTTTTTCACAGAACTGCAGAACTCTTCTAAAAGCTTATGAGATGAACCCAGTTCTCCATTTCCTGGGCTATGGTATTTCAGTTCCCTTGTTGTTGGCACATGCTATCAGCAAAACCAGAAGTGCTGAATGAAACATTTTCCAAAGGTTCACATGCACCAAGTCTCCATGTTTTGAGAACAACCAGAGGAAACACTTGTGGTAGAACCTAGCTGGATTCTACAAACATTATAGACCCATCAACTAGTTGTTTGGTATTTTCCACTACCCAGCAAATAACCACCTCATTCTTCCCCTCATTCACGATGATATTTGTGTCAGATTTCTTAGGGCTTGCCCTTGATAGTTTAAGCTTATAATTGTTAGAAGCACCAAAAGAGACCTATGCAATATGCACTACGGTTTAGTGGTTTAACATGAGTTGAAGAGGTATGCAACAAGTTATTGTGATGGCTGAGTCACTTTGTAAGATTTGACATTTACAATATTGAACAATGTTTAGAATACAAGATTACTAATTAACTCTTGAATTGCGTAGTATTATTGTGATTTCCTACTCACCAAATAAAAAATAATTTGTAAGTATATAAACTATTGGATGACATTTACTTATTTTTTAAATATTAAAATAAAAGCGCAACGAGTGCTAATTGATCTATAAATGCTATAAAATTTTAGAAGCTTAGTTAATTTTGCGAAAACGTTTAATGATTCGAACAATTGAATTTTTTCACCAAAATGAAACCCCATTATTACCTCCCTAATTATGAAGCATCAAATTAAAAACTAAAGTTTTAGTGAATTGTTATTTTTAGTTGGAGGTTTTCAATTATTTCTACTAAGGGCAATCGTAATTATTATATTACTAGATTTAAACACTAATTCAGATTCAGGTTATCGGTATATAGAAAAGTTCATTTAAACAGAAAAAAAAAGACACTTTAATCATTTTCATAACTCAAAAACTTTAAAAAGAATTTAATCAACTAATAAGTTGAATTATTTACATCTTTCGCACCCTTGGAAGATGATTATTTATCTTAATTTTTAAGAAATAACTTGAGCAATTGCGCTTAAGTGATTTGAGTACTAAAGCAAGTTTAAATAACATTGTGTTAGTAACTTTTTTAATATTAAATGATTTCAATTAGACTCGTTTAAACAATTTATTACTTTAGAGAAAAAAATAATAAATGTTTCTAGGTGTGATGTAATGTGTGAGAAATAGTAAAGGTAGGTTATTTGGCTACTGCTAGATTTCTTAAAAGTTACTATATTTGGTTATTCATTCATATCATAACAAAGTGAAGGAAAATGGTTAAGTAAATACTTTTAGTTAATGTGGTTATAAATATAAAACTTTATTCTAATAACATATATAAAGATAAATAAAATTTAAGAGGTGATTATTATGTATAACACATCCTCGATAATCAAGGAGTAATTGACTTGTATTGTTAATAAGTGAATCATATTGTATGTCCTGGGCTAGCACAGATACTAAGTGGATATCTCATAAATCTTGATTAAGTGTGTAAAATAATTAGCAATTAACGTGAATACAAAGGTTTATTTTTAACAATTAGGTAAAAAATATGCTATAGTTTATTTCTCATATAAAAAACCAAATATAATCTAAGAAAAAATTATGGGTTGTCCAGACAAAATTAAGGCAATCTAATTTTGGAATAATAAAATTGGATAGAACCAATTAAAGGTGTGTTTTGAAAAGGATGAAAAGAAAAAAATCATTTCAATGGTAGATTATAATTGAAATCATTTTTAAAAAATAAGTTTATTCAAAAGAAACTTTAAAATAAAATTAATTTCAATTAAAGGAAAAAAATCATCTTTTACAAAAGAAAGATTGTGTGTACAAAACTGAAAAAAAAGGTAATTAGATAGAAATTTTCAAATTTAAAAACACTTTCTTTAAAAAAAATGTTATTAATTTAAATTATTATTCCATACATACAATTTATCTTATATAAGGTTTTATACTAAATATCGTCTAAATTGAGACACATGCTAAAATTATGAAAGTTGTGTTTTGCAATTCAATGAATTTATAATATGTAATAAAGTTGTTTAGTATTAAGATTATTTTCTAGAAACTGAAATTAATTTACATATTGGTTTTAGAATAATTTCTATAATTATTAAATACATAAAAAATTGAACTTGTAAAATCAATTGTAAGAAAAATTATAATTCGGACTCTTGTCTCACTAAGCTTATTAAACCCTCGTTACTTTTAATGAACTTAAATTTTTAGAATTTAAACTCGATACATTAAAAACATTTAAATATACTCATAAACATCAGAATTTAATAAAATATAATGATTTTAAAACTTATATGTTAATAAGTCAATTTAATAAATAATAATTCATATGATAATATATTTATATTACTTAAAATATATCTTGTAAATATACCTTCTTTATTATTTCATACCTATTTATTCTATAATTTAAGATTTACACTGAATAAAATTTGGAGTTTCAATAAAACAAAAATTTAAAGTCAAATACGTGGTTTAAGGAGTAAGGACAAGCACAAAGATGTTATTAAAAGAGTCTTAGAAAAATAAAAACAGGGCGCATAGAGTACATTCTCTTTTTTTACAACATTACAGATAACATAATCAAGACTAAGCTTGCAAAACAAAAGTAAAGGGAACATATGGTAGTCGCCATCAGGAACTTGCTTACACTGGCCAACAAAGCATTACAAGCTCAAACATTTCCAACGTCTGAACTGTGAAATCTGAAAGTTGTAGCAACAATATGTCAGACATTTAAATATTATGTGAACTCTGGTTGTTCATCAATGGCAGAAAATGATTTCAGCGATGGCAATGGTGAAGTTTCACCAGGTTTCACACTTTCATCACCAGGCGGTAAGCACCTTTTTGAAAAAAATGCAGCAATGCTCTTCGGTCCCCCACTGCCTTTTTCTGTCAGTTAAACCAGACATAGTTTAGAAATTGAAACAAACAACGTTAAGAATTTGGGAAGAAGTGCTTGGGACACCGAAGATTTCATACCAGGTTTAACTGTCATGCCAAGCTTATCCAGAACTTCTTTCTTCACCTGGATAAAAATGAGAAAAAAAAAAAAATCAGCATAATAGGTATTATTCAACCCTTTTCCAAAAGGTGATAAACCAAAGTAGCCTACTGCCGTCCTGATGAATAAATGATACAAGATCGCGAGTTACCAAATGGTTTTGGTTCATCACAACTACATATGAATCCAGTTCAACGTAAAATCAAATGGTAAGGGCCCAACCGGGTAAGACGATTAGTGTCCACTCATTTAACCACCCAAGTTCATTACTTGTGACTACTTTCACATAGGGGCCCAACATGGAAATTCAGAGTAGCATTAAGGGTTTCTGGGGATGAAATGATATTTACACAACACACCAAGAAAAGTGTAAGTTTAATTGGTATCAATTTTGCTTGATTCAGACATCCATACAGTTGTGAGGTGGATAATATAAATGAAATAGCAAATTATACTTGAAATCGTAAATTTTTAATAACTTTCGCTATAAAAATTAGCAGCAATTTCTAGATTGTGAGATCTCCACAAATACTAACCTGCAAACGGTTATCAACATAGTCAGATACTTTGCGCACTTTGTTCTTCAGTAAGGACTTAGGGACAGAAGGGAATTTCTTTTGCAAAGACACTAACACTTTATTCATACCTTGAGAACAACTTTGAATAGTGGTCACCTGAAAAGTTAAGAAAACCATTGTAAAGTGATAAAATTTGCATGATATGCCATAAAATTAGCCACAAAATGAAAGTGAAAGAGAGAGATTAATTTGTAAAATGGGTAGGTTTCTCAAATCCCTGCACCTGTCAAGTGTCACCCCAGATGACATGATTGATTTTTTTCCTTAATCAACTTGACTTTAAACTTTCACTACTTTGAGTCTAGCAAACTACACACGCATCTTTACAGATAATAGAAAATTATCCAACTCAAACGCATAACTTACAATTATGGGTAGGTCTGAATCAGGAATGACAGCTATATCAGATGGACTAGCACCACTTTTACCAACAGAGAGGCGGACTTTTTGTTCCTGGTCTCGCATTTTGTCCATGGATATTTGTACAGGTGAGCTGCCAGGAATTACGCGCATACTCAAGGCCTGCAAGCACGTCTGCTCCAGCTTAGAAGTACCACTAATGTTGTGATCTGATAGAAACTCCTTGTCGTGACTAAAATTTGATATAAACAAGGGTTGATTTTTCCGGAGAGCATGCACTGTCAAATTGTTTACATATTTCTGCTGCCGAAGTAAAGCACAAAACTCCTCACTCCCTGCGTTATTCTTACAGATAGATGAGCTATCAGCCCCCTCAATGTCATCATTTATTTCCATTCTGTTCGCTTGTATACCCTACATATTAATAAAAGAAATTAGACTAATCAGTGCTTTAAAATTCGCAAACAGCTGTACATTACCGGTACAATTATTCTAGGGGATGACAGCAGAGAACATTCCGGGTATATTTGTGCTTTGGTTTTTTAATTGTTTAAAATTATTTTAACATACAATATAGAAACTCTTTTTTGCAGAATAGAATAGGGGCAGGGGAGAGTAAATGAGATAGCACAAGAAAAAAGATGTGTAATACAAAACTAGAAAAACACAGCAGCTTAAAGATATTCTAGTCTTTTTTATCCTAAAAACTATAAAATAGATATTTCTTTCAACAATTTGAAAGAAAAAAAAAACTACTCATATCAACAAGATTTTTTGTTAAAAAAAGAAACATAAATTAATTTTTAGAAATTGAAATCAAACAAAGCCCTTGATCGTCCACCTACCCAGGCTGACAAAATATACATAGCATGCATGGATATCGAGACATCAAAAGGTCCAAACATCACTCATCTACTTAGAATCATTGAAATGTAAAACATTGAAACAACAAACACATTGATCGCAGCAAAAACACCAGGCCTACACCTCATCTTCGGAGAGATAACCATCTGGTACAAAAAACCCATCTTCATTTTCTTCATCAGACTTTAGGCCTTCCTCTTGACCGTCTTCTTCATCTCTATCACAATCAGAAAGACTTTCACCCGGTTCCTCCTAAAAAAGACAGAATGCTGTTAGCAGATGGATGGCATCCATTGTAAATTAATTGAGTTAAATACAAAAAGTTTAATGCACCTCTTCCCACTCTTCATCACTGTTGACTTTATAATCCAGGCCTGGATCTTTCTTAAAAGGATGGCGTGGTCCAACAATTTTACTAGAGATACATATTTTGCTACACATGAGTACTCTCAACAAAAAAAATACTTGAAAAATACATCTTATAACATACAAAAGCAAAATTACTACCGATATTAGCTCTTAAGTAATCATAAATAGGCATTTAATCAAATCAACAAATGAGGCTCTGACAATAGTGACAATATCTGCATAACTAGAATTAGAAGAACAGTTGAAATACTGGATTTACCCATTTTTAAGTCAATAAATTCGTGAAACTTAGTCTAACCTTTCTTTTGGCCAAACTCCATAAAAGGCAGGTCTATGAGATTTATCAAACTGAAATAATTGTCTCCCCCGACGTTTCTTTCTGGCATTAAGAGTAGAACTATCTGCATTCACTGGACATGAACTGATATGAGAATTATATTCACCCAATCTGTCCACATGTTTCTCCATGTCCAACCCATGATCATGAACTTCAGTTTTAATAGCTGTCAGCTTTAGTTCCTTAAAAACTTCAGTCCTGGGATTCTGACGTAAGCCCCATCTCTGTTTTCTGTTTGAGCGAGACGATCGTTTTAACGAGCGCCATGAAGAAAAGTGTGACCTTGAAAGTGAGACATATTTAGTTAGATCTGAAAACACAACAGCTAGTATGAAAAACAGAATGTTAAAATATACGTACTTGCGAATATCCTCAAGTTTTAAATCACCACTTGATGCGAGAGTACAATCCATTGAAAGCGTAGCTGACTCAAACAAACCTCCATTCTTGTCGCTTGACAAATCAGATGCAGTTGATTTCTTTGAAACTTTGTCATCAGATGAGGAATTTGTTTTACATCTTTTCAGAAAACGCTCCATAAGTGAGGCTTGCTTTTCTAAACTTCTCTTTTGTTTGAGCTCGGCCGCAGCTTTCAATCTACGGCGTTTTTCTCTTTCTGTTTCCTCTACCTGCTTCTTTTGCCGGTTCTTGCTTTCAGGAGTATCACCTTGTGACAATTGAAAATCTGATTCCTAGAAGAATCAAGTAGTTGAAGAAAGAAATGAGTAAACAAAAGATATATCTATTTTCAAAGATAGAGAATTAATGTGTCTCCATATGCGCATAAATAGATGAAAGCTGCGGCCGAGCTAAAACATAAGCGAAGTTCAAGATTCATTCAATCTAGAGAGTAGTTAAAGATTTTTTCTTAATATTTATCATTTAGTTTCTACATATATATAAACTACTATGGGCTATAACATCTCAATCACCAATACGTCAGCTTTTGGCCCCATATGTATAATACCGGTACTTTTAGATACAAGAGGGATAATTATCCCATCAGTATCCATTATCTTTTCACCTCAAAATAGATATTAAAATATCCAATACAGTTTATAGATTCATTGGCAAATACTTGCAAATATCCCATTAAGATATGTATCTCTTGCAAGGATTATCATTGAGGTACTTGTGGTTTAAAAATGCTTGTATTGGAGAATAAGAGTGTTTCTAGGTATAGGGAATCATACTTAAGAGGGAATGTTAGAATTAAAATGTGTCTTAAAATTCCATATTGAATAAAAATGGTGAAATTGAATAACATATTAGTGAGAAAGACTCAAGCATCTATTGTCTTACAATTTTAGATTGTAGATACTATCATGTTTTCTTATATGATTACCTTACCTCCCTATTTAAACCCCCTCAAGAAAAAAAGACAACAATTATTATCTTAGCCATTACTGTAAAACATACATCATAGTTATATTATATAATAATATTTCTATTCTTTTACTAAAGCTGTATTGTTACATTATATTACAATGTTTTCATTTTTATTTTTTGTGTAAAACATATTTAATTTTTATATTGTCTATTTTAATACGTATCTTTTCATTTTAATGTTATATGTATTAAATCTTTTGTTATGTATTTGACTAGTAATACTTTAGAAAAATAAATTCGACAAGTAATTACAATTATATACTTACAATAATATTAATGTCTAATAAATATATTTTTAATTCAATTTAAAAAAAAAAACTTTAAAAAATATGGTATCCTATATTCTAAGAATTGGCATATCGCTATATCGGATTCATATATATCCGTGAATAACATATGCCATCTAATGCAACAGACTATCACAATACTGTTAGCTAATAGAAATATTCCGTTTGAACGTATGTTTAACATGATTGCTCGGACAATGAGAACAACATCTAGAAAGAAGCAACTTCAGCTATAAAGAACACATAGCAGGATAAAAAAAGCCACACTTACATTGGACGGTGTTTCTCTTTGCAGTTCATTGTGCATTCTTTCTTTCTCTTTCTCTTTCTCAATTTCTCTTCTATTTCTCTCCAGCTGTTTAATTAGCAATTTATTTTCTTGATTTGCTCTTTTAATGTCCCTACAATTATATTTTAGAAAATCAAATCAATCATCACTGAGAGTTAAATATGTGAGACAACAATCAAAACTTTTCAGGAATATTGTGTGTTATGTACATGTCGTCGCTATGTTTCTGCAATGAACTATTCATATACGAGCGGATATCTGCCTCGGGAAGAGCTTTACTGAGCTTTTTTGATGCCTTCTTTAAATCATTAGTGTAATCTGGTTCAATCTCTACCTTTTTCAGAGCTGCTATTACTTCTGAAAAAAAAAAAAAAAAAACTTCAACAAAATATTAAGCAAACAAACAACCTGATTCCCTAAACTTCAAATTAAGAACTCTCAGAAAGGCCAAATACAATGAAGCACCATTATAAACGTAAATTATGGCATGTTTCAATATAATAGTAAGGTAGACATTATTAACCTCATAAAAATTATTTCTAATTTTAAACCTTTTTTACAAAAAAAATAATAATTACATAAAATGTGATTATTATAACATCTTGTCGGCTGCTAAATGAGTAACACTGCATAACTAAATTATTGCAAATTATGATAATTAGTGCGAACCAAACTGCGCACTTAAAACATACGTGACACCCAGGCTTCATATTAGCACTAGCTCGGTTTTCATCTCAAGAAATGAATAATACACTAACTTATTCAGATTTTCAGGAAGGTATTCATAGATAAGCAATAAGAAACCAACACATAATACAACATGACGCAGAAATTAGAAATACAAATAGATGTACAATCTCAACTGCAATACAAAAAACCACACTACCAACAGCAAGAATCAAAACACACATTCTTACTTCCACGAACAATGAATAATATAATTAATTATAATCAATGCACATTGAAAGACCAAAGCTAACTACACGAGTGAGGGAACATAGTACCAGATACAGCCATAATCCTCTCATGAATTTTTTTCCGGCATATGCGTCGAACACCAACTTCTCCTCGAACAAATTTCGGCAACAATTTCAAATCTCTCGTCTGCATCACCAATATGGAAAGTTTAAACAAGTCTCAATTAGCTTTGAATGACCAATTCCTAACGTGCATTTTATGTAATTAAATAAATAATGTACCAATCATCAACATAATTCAAGATAAGCAAGAATCTTTATTCACCTCCCAACACCAGAGACACGACTCGGCATGATCCTCCAATACATCAGCGTCAGCATTAGGCAAGCCGTAAGCCATTCTCTGTCCCGCAAACAACACGCTACTCTTCACAGTCGCGTAGGTCAACGGGTCCCCCAGCACGATTGCACCGCTACGGACCTCATCGTTCAACCTGTCGCGGATCTCGACAATGAGCCTCGCCAGCGGAAGGTCACTCTCCTCCAACAGAGCAGCGACGAGGGCGTTTCGTGAGCCACCGCACTGGCTCAGTTCGATGCTAACTTTCTTAGCCGCAGTTTCCTTGTAGTAGCAAAACAATGAGTCCAGCTCCCTCTCGAGGGTTTCGATCTGCGCTTGCTTCTCCTCGGCCCCCTTTAGGTTTTCAAACTCCGAGGAAATCTTCCGCTTCCGCATGGTGGTGTTGGCACGATTTGATCTCGGATTTTGAGGAGAAAGTGGGGAAGGAGGAGGAGTAGAAAAGGCAAAGGTCCTCGAAGGCCCTGCCATTGCAACAACCTCTTTCACTGTCTGAGTGTTGATCTGTGGTGAAAATAACTGAACTGAACCCTAATTGTTATGAAGAGGGTTTAGGAGAGGTAAGAAGAATTGAAAAGATTGGGAATCTATTATATATACACACAAAAATACACGGGAATTGTAATTGAATTTGGGGGAAGAAATTGATTGTGGGGAAGAAAAGAAAAGATTGAGAATATGAACACAAAATAAATTGGAGAAGAGAATTTATATTTTCGCGCCAATTTTGCCCTTTTCGCTCCACCGCGTACTGTAGTTTTTGTGCGTCCAAGCCCGTTTTCGGTCGAATCTAGTTTTCGCGCGCGTTTGAAAGTCCAAATCCAGGTTCGACCGTTTTAACCGACCACACAAATGTCTAAAAATAGAAATAAACATTTTTATTTAATTATTATTGTTAAATAAAAAAAATAATAAATAATTAATTAATTCAATCCGTTAAATTTAAAACTATGTTTTTTTATATATTTTTATGTTACAATTTTATATTTAATGATTATTTTTTATATTAATTAAATAATTAAACATAATTTTAATACTTTTTATATTTAAACTTATTATTTATTAAAAAAATTACACTATATATAATAGAGATATTTTTAACCATTTATTATGACATCAAAAAGAAAAAATATCAATAAGTGGAAAAATAAGTATGAAAAAATATAAACAATTAAAATAAAACCTATCATGAAAAATAAATTAAACAATTTAAAAATTAAAATTAAAAAAAATAATATATATATATATATATAATATTCTATATAAAAATTAAAATTCATGTATTTCTATTAATATATAATGAAGATTTTTCTCTTTATGAATTTTTATCATCACTTCTAAGTTATAATATGATGTTGTTTTTTATCAAATATATTATTATTATTAATTTATAATAAAATTGATAAAATATTTTATATATATATATATATATATATATATATGATTAATCAATCCATTTTATCAAATATAATAGATTAAAATTTAACCCTTAAATTTATTATTTATTTATTTTTCCTAATTTTATTATTCAAATTTTAACTTCCACATCCTTTATCATCATATATTTTCATCTTTATAGATATTTATAGAACAACTATTTTGTTTAAATGATCATCTAATGCTCCATTACTGTTTATTAATTAAATATATTTGAACAAAATTCTTTATAATTTTTTAAAAAATTCAATAAGTTAACAACAAGGTAAAAATTAAAAATTACACGGGAGAATTTCTAAAATTAATTTTTATGTATATATTAATTAATTTTTTTATTTATCTATTGTATAACTAATATATAATAAATATTATTTAATTTGTTTTAAAATTAAGTGAATAATTATTAGAGTTTAAACTTATTTAATATACATCTTAATTTTTTATTAGTATGATATATTTCAATTCAATTTAAGTATACTAGTTTAACAACAAATTGATAAAAATAACAAATCAATTCAAATGTGAGAATATATGATTTAATATATAGGTGTATCAGAAAATCACTTTATTATATTATTAAAAATAATTGTTAATTTAATATATATTTCATACATAATTATTCACATTTAGTTCTTATAATATTATTTATCAATAGCTTATATTTTGTTGGTGCAAGTTAGTTCAATGTAGTTTATGTAATTGCAAAATACAAATGTGATTCTAATTTATTGGATGTTCTACTAATTTAAATAGTTTGACTTATTCCATTTAAATCAATAATAAATACATATATGCATTTCAATGTGGTATTTATGAAATGTAATAAATAAAACACATTGCCACTTATCCCCTTTCTTTATATACACACTTTTTTAGGTAAAAGTGGAGGAGAAGAAAAATTATAGATTCAGAAACATTATGTTATTTTGTTAAGTTGTTCTTTCTTTAATTTTTTCACAATCCAGTTCTTAAAGGATGAACAAAAATAAGAGTTAAATTCATATTTGTTTTTTCACAATAACTTAGTTATTTTGTGTGTTATATTTTAATGTTACAGATGAAAGTCATTAATTATTGTATTATGATATTATACTACCACACTAACATAATTTTTTTAATTAAAACTAATAAAATCAAATAAAAGAAGTATATATATAGGTTCATATACATATTCAAAATATTTAATTATTACTTGTCATTTAATACAATGATCTCTATACATATACTCTACAATTAGTTATAGTATGTTTTCATTTTATTACTTTATTTTTTCTTTACAAAAATTTAAGAAGTTTATTTTATTTTACATGATTTAAAGAAATTCATATTTATTTATCATGTAAAATATTGACGCAAATATGATGTAGTGTTTTTGTTTATAAAATATTTATATATTAGATTATTTTAACATAATTATCTCATGAAAGTTTCATAATACTCTAAGATAATACAACATTCCAATTCTTTTTAAGTCAACTAAGAAAAAAAGATTTAATAACATTTAAAATTAATATTGTAGAAATATTTAGTTTTTTTTTTCATTTTCAATGCAATTTTTCAATCAAATTGTGCAATTTAAGAATAAAAAACAAAAAAAAATACAAACAAGTTTTAATTTGATGAATTTTCAAAATTTATTATGATTTTTTAACTATTTAGAACAAAAGAAAGAGAAAAAATAATTTTTTTTTAATAAAATCTGACATGTTTGTTTAAATTAATTTTTTATTTTATTTTTAAAAACAACTTTATATAATTTTGAAAATATTATTTCATAATTTTGTAAAAAACATATATAACGTTAAACTATTATTAGGTATGAGTTTTTCATGAAAAATTCATTAAAAATATATAATATATAATTTAAGTTATTTATTTGACCTTGATTTTAATACTAATTAATCTTTTCAAGAGGATTTACCCAAAAAAATATGAGACATTAATTCAACTCATAAAAATTTTATCTTTAACTCAGAATAAGACATTATGTTAATTTATTCATTTTCATTTTTTCTCAATGTATCACGTAAACTCATTATTAATTTTTTTCAAAATGTTAAATGTAAATTTATTGTATCACAACATTTTCAAACAATTTATTATTAATTTTATTATAATAATTTTTAAATAAATCATTCCCTTTTCTAATAAAATAACTATACAAATATTTAAATATGTGATTGTAATTTATTTGAAACCATATATTTCATTTAAAGCAGCTCCAATTAAAAATCTCAAAAAAATAAGATATTTATTGTAATTATTGAATATAAATAAAAAACATATTTACAGATTTTAATTTTGTTAATTTAAAAAAAATATTTGTTTTAAATTATTCTAACTGAATAATTATTAAATTTTCAAACTAACAAATTTTAAATTATTCTTAGAAACATGAAAGGAACACGCCTCTCTCTCTCTATATATAAATTTTCGACAGGAATTAGTGATTAAATTTTTATGACATTTTTTACTCTAACTTTTACTTTTTATCACTTTTCACAAACTTCTAAAACACTGTTTTTTATTTATATTTTGTAAATTAAAAACTATATTTTAAAAATAGAATGAACGTAAAATTGTTATTATATATAAAATTGTTATATTTTAAAAACTGTTTTTTTTTAAGATGAAACAATAAAAAATAAACCGTAGAATGATATTTTTGATTTATTTTCCTTAAATTAGTATTAAGTTGTTTTATTACATTGTTTTACTCAAAATTCATACCATTCTACATGTTTTTTGGGATTTTTTGTTTGTCAACATTAAAGATTATATTTTACTTATGTATTGAATTTTGGTGGATGTTGTACTAATCCAGAAATAGTTTCACCTTGTCCATTCACATTCACCACTCTTTTAATTTTACCTATTTTTAAAGAAGAAAGAAAAATATTAATAAATATATAATTTTATCTAATCTTCCTTTAAAAGGTATTAAATTGTTTCGTTAATTTTTTTCTCCAAAATTAAAATCCCTTATAGATATCTGTAGAGCATCTTGTAATGAATGGATAATCCATGTGTCAGTATTGTGATTTTCTTTCTTGACATGCATTGGCTCTGGTAGATTTCACACTAATCAAAATGCTTGCAGTTTACTTTATCCTCTTAATGTCAGTCTATATAACAGTGAAATTTTAAAAAAAAAAGTATCCATTTTTAATATCATATAGTCTCATTAGATATTTGGCAATTGCACAAGAAAAAAAATGCATTAACAATAATTTTGGAATAAATGTATTAATTTTTTGCTAATTTATTTGATATATATATATATATATATATATATATAATTTGTTTGTTTAAATAATTTTGCTAATTTATAGTAAAAACTAAAAGCATATTTTAAAATTAAATGAAGGTGAGCATTATCGTAATTTACCACTTCCATTCCACATAATTTATTGTGAATCGAAAAAGCCAACAATTCACTGCAAATGCAACACATGGAGACGAGGAACAATAAGGGCGACGACAACTACGAAGTTTAGGATCATTAATTGTTGTTTCTTTTCAAAATCACTGGCAGGGACATTGGGAAGAACTTAACAATGTTTAGTTGTGTTTTATGTAAATCATGTTACCATGCTTTGTTAAATAAAGCACATAGTATCTGCAAAACGTGTCATCCCTTCTTTGAATGACATTTATGAGATCTAAAAATAATATATTATAAGAGAAGTTTTTTTTTTTTTTTAAATGAAAGAGGAGAAAAAAAAATTGTGAGGAGAGAGATCTTCCAAATATTTTCTGTGATGCCTTTTGTAAGTAGCATTAAAAGTTTCTCGAGAAATGAAATTCGTTCTGCATGCGTCTGGGACAACCTCATAACTGTGATGCCAGGTTTCAATGCTCTGAATGTCGTTCTAGACATGCACTGGTTCTGGAAAAGGTTACCGTTTGATGTTTTCCTCAACCCGAGACCACATTAAAATCGCAGATGAACATGTCACACTGTCACTCAAGACATGCATTGGTTCTGCTAGATCTCACCTCGAAAATTTTCTGTAACCGAGAAGCAGATAAAA